CTACTACTACTACTACTACTACTACTACTACTACTACTACTACTACTACTACTACGCCTACTTACTACTACTACTACTACTACTACTACTACTACTACTACTACTACTACTACTACTACTACTACTACTACTACTACTACTACTACTACTACTACTACTACTACTACTACTACTACGCTACTACTACTACTACTACTACTACTACTACTACTACTACTACTACTACTACTACTACTACTACTACTACTTATACGACGACTACTTTATTACTACTACCGCAACGGCAACATCAACCAGACCGCCAGCTCCGTCACTAGCTCCTCCTGCGACTACGACGAGACTTAGGAAACCGACGACTTCCAGAGGCTGGAGGTGCACGAGGACGAAAGTGCGACACCTTGCCCCGCCGCCGCGGCCGCTCCCTGTCCAGCTGCAGAAGGGGGGTGGCTGGCAGCTGGCAGGAGCGACGCCTCTTTCTCGACTGCTTCCGAGGGGCCGCCCTCCCTTTTGCCCTCTTTGGGCGCTCCGCACCAGAGTAGACCCAGGCATTGGCCCACAAGAATGTGACAAGTCGGGAATCTTCCCATCGGGATCACCCAGGAAGCCCCTTTCATCTAGCCCTACGATCTGCGTCACCGACGCCCCCTCCACCGTCGCCGCGATTGGAATTGCTTCGATATGACGGATTAAGTCTTACGCTGCAGCGACCCAGTCCGCTTGGAAGACGGATCGTTTCGCCGCGGGGAGCGACGCCGACCCCGAACCCGACGCTGACGTCCACGAGCTCGGCTTTCAGGAACAAGAGGCCGACCACGAGAAGGCCAGCTCCAACGCGCACTGTGATGGGATCGATGCAAAAAGCGTCAGGCCCGCGACGCCATCCGCAACATTTGCTTTCGCGAGCTAGACTTTTCTGAGGCACAAGTCACCTTCGGGCTATTTGGGCCAATCCACGCCATCCCGGTGGAGGGCAGAATATCGATTGTCCGACGCTTCAAGGAGGCAGCGGCGCGCAAAGTGGACAAGACAATGAACGGCAGCGTGTTATGTTACCGAATCTACCAAGTGCATCTTGTAGGCGCTTCAGCCATATCGATTTCGCCTACGCCGACGACAACGCCAGCGCCAGCGCCGACTGCGCGAACGCCAACCGAAACGAATACGCCATGAGTGGTGTATCCCAGCCGTCCCTTCCCTACCTGCCCGTTTTCCCCTTCCTGTTCCTGCTCCCCCTCCTCGTCCTGCTCCTTCCTTTTTGCGTGGGTCGGGGAGGGGTTCTGGCCGGAGAAGGGGGCTGGGCTGGAGGCACGCGGGCGTATGCCAGTATCGCCTTTGCCGCGCCCGTTTTCCCGCCCAGACGATGGGCGAAGCGTCCCCTTCCCCCCCTCGTCTTCTACTGGCGAGGCCTGCCCGGCAGTCGAAAGTTCGATGGCCACCAGGGTTGGTGCTAAACCCGGAAAGAACGCGCAGCCAAAACACCACCCCGGCGGAGGTTTGGGGGTGAACCGCCAAACACCAGGGCCCTTGGCGGGCCCAGGCCACGCGCGGCCACCAGGTTAGAGCATGCTTCACACCGCGCCGCTAGCGCAGGGAGCAAGCCAGCGCGAGACCCGTCGAGTGCCAGGCCGCGAGCCGCAGCTCCATCGCGGCCGCCGCTGAAGGTGGGGGGTGGCGTGGGGGGGGGGCGCGCAAGCACAAGTGGGAGGAGGGGTGCCCCTACGTCGCCTTTTCAACCATTCCGGACCAAGGTCCGTGGCCTGGAGGCCCCCCCAGAGCCCCCATTCCCCAGGGAGCTCTGGGGGCCCTCTGCGGCTCGGGCGGGCCCCTCTCGTTCCCGTCTTCCGCCTCCCCGCTGTGTCCCTCTTGTCCTCGTTTCCCCTCGCCTCTGGGCCCCCCTCCCCCCTTGGACCGCAAGTGCCCGCCGTGTGCCGCAGCTTGCCGCTGCAAGGCCCCCCCCCAGTTTTTTTTCGTTCACCCCCCCAGGGCCGAGCGGCCCTGGGGGCGAGAAGCCGCGATCGTGGATGCTGAAGGCCATACGGGAACAGGAAACAGGAGGAGGAGGAGGAGGCTACTGGAGCAGGAGGGCAAAACCAACATGCATCACCAATGCTGCCACGCGCCTGCCCGACCCAAGTCTCGTTCTTGCAGGTCCTCACTACGGAAAGCGCCCCCTGGAAAAGACGGGCAGCCCATCGGCTTGCGATTCAGGTGGTGGAGGTTAAATGTCGAAGACTTGCCCAGCGACGTCCCCGCTTGAAAAAAAAAGCATGCATCCGAGCATATGTTGCCCAACGTGTGATTTCTGGCCATAACGAATTGAACGAGGTCTCAGGCGAGAGCCTCTTGTGTCCAGAACATCAGAAACGTTTCCCACCTGTGTAAACAAACATGTTACACTTCCATGTTGTTGGTCACGCGTGCTGAGGACATGTCTCGCAGGCCTAGAGGTTGACACCAACATCAATATCGGCGGTGTGCCTCCACCGAGGGAGGAAGATCC